TAGCATCCAACACGAGAACAAACATCGTGTTTTTGTTTAAAGAAATATCGTTTTCATTGAGTGTTACACTTTGTGTACAATCCCATTATTTCTTAGCACAGGTGTTTAGTGGATCTCGGTATTATTTCAAAATTTACCTTGCTAAACATTATGTAGTGGAACTACCTAGTTTACTCTTTTGGTAAATTAGTTTACCTGGCAATACCGTAGAGTAGGTAAGAATGAGAAATTTTGGTTTCGTGATCACAGGATATAAATGTGGAGTTTTCTGTTAAGGAATATGTGCATTTCACGTATTTGAACTCTTGCGTAATCGACTTTAAAGAAATGTTTCTTACTTAAAGAATGGCATTTTTTACGACCAAAATGTAGGGTTAGCCACCGAAGAGAAATGATTGTATGAGAGAGTTCTCAGGTCTAGAATGAGTGCTTTCCTGAATGTTAGACTTTTGAAATACTATGAAGGTATATGAATTCAATCTCTCTACAGCCATAGATTCAGGAAGATTAGTCAACATCTGATGCACACAAAACAGCAGATCAGGCATTGCCTCTTAACAAAGTAAGGAATGCACAGGCGACTGAGGATTGCCAAGGTTGAATGGCATCTGGCAAGACTAACATTATATGTGCTGGTATATGTATTCAGACTTTCACCAGTTAGAGTAACACCACCACATCTGTGGTTAAGGCCATCTGAGACCAGACAAAAAGAATTGAAGGTGGCAATGTATAATAATATCCACCACTCAGAGCTATTTCCCTAGATGGTTAAACAGCAGATTCCAACTAATGAAGACCACAAACCATTGGGTGGCCAAGAGCCCGGGTACTGGCCAAGATTCCACAATGAAGAGGCTTTTACAACAACCACAGGTCCTTGTGAGTTAGAAAAAGCAGATTTTGTCCCCAGTGGTTAAAAGTGTAGCAAAGGAAAAATAGACTGTTTTCTGGAGCGTTTCAAGCAGATAAGTAACTGCAAGGACTGGTCTCAGGGGCAGGCCCTCCAAAATCTGATTCTGAACTTCGAGAGTTTATCCCTGGACTTCAGCGAACACCTAATAGCCATTTGTGTCAAACAACAGTAACTTACCACTACATAGATACAGAAAATGCACATACAATCATGAAACCACCACACTGGCTTCCCTCAAGCATTAGGGATGTTGCTAGCACTGAGATAGTGTTGTTGTTAAAAGACAAGATCATGCAACCTTTGGAGAGTGCTTGGTCATCTCCAGAAGTGATTGTCAGGAAGAACGAAGTTATTCTAAGATTCTGTATTTATTATAAGTGAATAAGCACAGTAATCTGCATTGATGCTTACCCCTTGCCATGAACAGATCAATATATAGATGCATTGGAAGGTTTCCATTAGCTGAATACTTTAAATCTGGCACCCAGATACAGGCACATTCAGTTGGATGTTGAGAGCAGACCTGAGACTGCTTTTAGCATGCGAGATGGCTTGTATAAGTTTGGTGTCGTACCACTTGGCCTGTGTGACATGCGTGGTTACACTGAAGGGGCTGTAATGTGAGAGATACATGTTTTATGTTAACAATGTTTTTGTTATTTGCTCATGTATTTAAGTCTGTGACTGAGAACCTGAGAATGTCATTCCAACAGATAAAGAAAGCAGAATTCAAATTGAAACCAGGAAAATGTATACTAATGCACTCAGAAGTGTAATTTCTCAGTCATATCATAGGTAGAAATGCACAGATACTGCTGAAATAGCAGCGATGAAAAGCTAGCCTCAAGCTATTACCAAGCAAAAAGACCACATTTTTCTTGGTTTTGTGTCACATTACTAGCGGTTTGTGGAAAACTTTTCTAAGATAGCAGCATCATTGTCTGCTGTTACTGAAATTGAGTTGAACTCTGTATGAAACAAAAAAGGTGAACAAGCATTCAAATCCCTAAAGTTTGCTTTAGTGGAATCTTCAATTCTGATATATTCATAACAAGACAGCAAGTTCTGTGGAAACCAATGTCAGTGAGAGTGTAATCGAAGCAGTGTAGAACATGTAATTGCGTATGCTAATTTTATGCTCATGGCTCCTGAACACAGATACTGTAGGATTAAGAAATAACTGTTTGCAGTTGTAGTCTTCGTAAAGCACCATCGGTACTACTTGTACAGTAGGAGGCTCACCATCTGAATGGACCATGCTTTGCTGAAATGGTTAAAGAACTTTACAAATTTGATAATAGAACATTTGGTAATAACATTGCAAGAATATGAATTTGTCATATTGTATTGCCTAGGGCCTCAATACCTCTCTTGATCTTATTTTAACTTTCTGTGTCGATCTTCCTGGTCTTCTTTTAATTTTCTGATCCATTCTTCCTGGTTTTCTTTAAATTTGCTGTCTTATTCCTCCTGATTGTCTTGATAATTTCATTATCTCAAGTTACATTTTCCTACTCTTTGACCTCATGACTTATTTGTACAAATTCATGGCTAATGATCAAGTAATTGAAAATAAAACACTGGCATAAACAATCTTTGACTTATTTACTTTACTGACTAGAAACAATCCTGTTTTAACATAACATAATGTTTGGGTACAACAAGGGACCTATTGGTCCATCTAGGCTGTCCCATCATCTAAACTAAACTAAAACTATCAAATAAAAAACCCAAAGCCATTTTTTGTCATTCATTTAGTTATCAAGTTTTATTTTAAAATCCATTTCAAAGGCCAACCACCTTGTTAGAAAAATAAAAATGTATTGGCCAAAATGCATGTTTATGTCCTCTCGATCTACCATTCTCACTCTTAAGTATGAAAAAATATTATGCATGATGATTATTCAGTAAGATTTTAAACTTTGTTAAATCGAACAAACAAAACCGTGGTAGTAATTTCGGTTTGAAATTAGTTGACCAAATGTAACCGGGGTGCTCAGAAAATAATTTTTTCTTCGCTCAGCTCGTATTTTAAAATAACATGAGAGGCTTAATTTGAAAAGACATGAAGAAAATAAAAGTTAAGGTTGACAGCAAAGATTTGATTTGGCAACAAGCAAAAAACTGTGAGAAAACCAAGGACAGCCAGAATAAAATCAATGGCCGATATGATACTTATGGTCCATCAGGGCGGCTGGGGATCTGTAGCTCCAGTGCCTAGAATTAGATGATGAGCGAAGTGGGATAACCCCGAGAAAACCCACTTTCACTAGCTGATGCCAATAATTGCCACTTAGTGCCCTATTAGGCTTTATTGATTTGAAGAAGGAAGGGGACAGTGGCTGAAGGGTTAATGTTTCACAAAGTCCTTCCCGGTATACAGATCTTTAAAACGATGTTTATAATAAGTACTGACGTGGGGTGAACTTTCATCATCACTGGATAGGGGTTGGCAGAAAAAAAGGAGAACTGGGTACTTGGCTCAACTGTAGTGTTGTCTGTTGTCGGTGAATAGAAGGATGGTAACGGGTGTAATTGTTGAAGGATGCTGGTCGACGAGGGGGATGCGGCCAGAAAGTTTGGCATACAAGATGTGGAAGGTTGAACTTCTAAGGACTCGAGAGTTTGAGTGGCTTTTTTTCCTTTTTTTTGAGTAGATTTTTGTCTGAGTAGATTGCGTGGCAAAGGTGTAGATGTTGGTTACAGACAATGAGTCCTGGGTTTTTAGGGCTTCAGTTTGTGTGGACTGGTCAGAGGTTGGGACTAACTTCTGGGTTAGGTCTGTCTGGTTCATTGAGGTAGAAGGATGAACTGGTGCTAATGAACGTGTCTGGGTGTTGATTCTGAGGGACAGCATGGCTGGTTGGAGTGGGGGAGGGGTCAGTTACGACATGGCATTTCAGTTTTAAAATAAAATATGTGGTACGAAACTGCGTTATTTACGATGGTTTCAGTTATGTTTTTTGAGGTAGTTACAAGTTTGCAAAATGCGTCAGTGAACCTGTAGTTTTAGCGTGAATGCGGTGGGTGGCATGTAGCTTAGTTTTTAGTTTCTTTCTACAGAGAGATGGATGTTATCAGTAGTGATAGAGGGGTAAACACCTCTAAGAAAGACCGAAAAAAGATTACTGGTTCTATGAGGAGTGGTGCATGTAACAGGTGGGACAGAGTTCCACGGGCTGTGTAGGTAGCGGTTAATAGCTGCAGGAGGATGCCACCTCTACATAAAATCCTGGTCTTGGTTACTTCGAAGGACCGGTGAGAAAACTGTAGGAGACTTCGCTAACTTAAAAAGTATGACTTACTTGTTTGATGTCATCAATCTATATCTATACCATTTGATAAATGATTTTGCAAAGCATCTTTTATCAGACTTTCTAAAACGTTTCCCACAACTGATGTGAATCTAATAGGTCTATAATTACTGGGATAATTTTTATTACTTCCCTTGAAAAAAGGAGGGAGTACCAATTTTTTGGTACTTGCCCACTATTCAAGCAAGTAGCTCACATATCCAATCCTTAAACTCATTCAAAGCCCCTGAGGAAATATTATCTGCCCCCAGTGGTACAGAAGTATGTCTGCGGACTTACAACGCTAGAAACCGCGTTTCGATACCCGTGGTGGGCAGAGCTTTGTGTAGCTTTGTAGCTACAAACAAACAAATATTATCTGGCCTAGGAGCCTTATATTTCTTTAAACTTCGCAATTTGTTCTTAACGAGCTCATAATTAATGTGATCAACTTGTTCAATCTTGTTTCCATCTATCAACTGTTCAACATGAGGAATGTTGCTTAAATCTTCGTTAGCAAAAACTGAAGAAAAGCACAATTTAATAACCCTGTCATCCTAATTTCCTGTTTAGCTAACTTTCTTGATATTCTATAATATTTTAAGTCTCCCGTTTTATCAGTCGATTTAAATTTCTTAAATTTGTGATGCTTTTCTTTAATTTTATCTCTTATACCTTTGTGAGCTAACCTGTTTTTTTACTTGCAGCCACCCTTTTCTTTCCACAAGGAACGTGTTTAACTTAAATATTTATAAATTTTTTATCTTAATGTCATGCGTCCTCTAACTAACATCTAATGTACAACTTAACAAAACATCGTTTATAAATATATCCAGCTGTATTTGATTGGAACTCGGAGTGAAGTTAGTTCGTTTATATTTATGCGTTCAAATTTTTCTTATTTCTGAACTCTTTTTAAGCAACAAAATACAACTCTTGCCACCGAATTCTCAAAATATTTGATTACGTTTCCTAACAGTGAAATCAATGGCTGTTGTGACAATTGGTTTATGCGTTTGACTTCCATGATGTCACTAGCCGGAGATAGTTGAGCATTTCCAGGTGATAATCCATGATATGCATTTTATTATTTTGGCGCCATTATGTTACATTAAAAAGAACAACTGTGATAGCATGTTATAACAGACATTGCACATTTCTGCAAGAAAAACGATTCACAAATCCTTTAATTATGGACTTTTCGCTCGTTTCATGAACCTAAATTTACGAAGGATATTTTAATTTTATTACAGTAGTTGATTTGAGTTAAAATAATATAAGCATGATTGTTAATTTATTATTTTTCAAGCGAATGTATATTCCATGTATTATGATTTTTACTAAAAATTGCATCTTTTAATTTCAAAGCAAATCAAAAAATTCTGATTTGCGAGAAAAAATCCAACTACCTCCGATGAACATAAAATTAAAACTAAAAGGTTGTTTGAAAGGGTAGAAACTGTAAACAGTTGCATGTTCCTTTTTCTTTTAGGCCTAACGCATGATCACTGCAAATTGTTATTTAGTAAAAGTTGTAAGATTTACAATGATATGCAGGTTTTACAATTAAGGAAGACTGGTATATTTCATTTTTATTATCATGAAATCGTTGATTAACTCTAATTAAATGAATGAATTTCAATGTTTTTGCTACATTTTATTTTTAATATTATTTGAAGTTTGAGTGAAGTGGGTATATTTTGGGGAACATGTTTCGACAGAACGTTGGTCTGTCCGTGAATTTGAAGTTCACAGATATAAAGGAACTTAATAACCCAAGCGTTTCAGAATAAATTGTAAACTTAATTTTTAAAAAATGTAGTACAGAATCTGACAAATTATTACTTAAATTCTAGTGATGGTGCAACGTATATATACTTAAAGATGTGTTGTTTAGCTAAAATGCACTATTTTTTGTTTTTGTAGGCGTTTTTACAAGTTCATAAACATGTTTTGCTTGGCTGAGATGTGTGATAATGTTAGGGTACCACCTTGGCTTTTTCATTTAAAATTAAACAGGGCTGTTTCTGAAGAACTCAACAAAAAATTGGCCAATAAGGTAAGAAAGTTTGTAAATATTTTACCAGTGAGTACATGTATGTAATATGTTTTCTGTTATTCATGAATGAATTGTATAATATATGGAGTTGTTTTTTTTCCTCTAAAATGATACATCTGTATGAAAGTTTTAAAGGTTACATAAATACTGTACATTCACACTACATCATAAGAGGATATCATCTGTTTATATTTAATTATTAGTCCAAAGAAAATACATGACAGTTGTATAATGTAAAAATTTTGTAAAGTCCAGATTCTTCAAAACAATGCATTCATTTTAAAAGAAGTTGTGTGTGTGTATGAATATATATATATATATAATTTTGAGTTTAATGTCACATTGTTTTCTATGACTAGTATAGGTAGTGACAAATGTTGGACTGTGCATTGCTTTATATGATCTACTAAGTCTAGAAGACTCGTATATCTTTCCCGGAGATGGGGCATCACACACCAAAGGTTAGTGATTTTGCACATTGATTTATTTTGCTTTTTTTAAAATTCTCCAACTATGGTATACCATAGGTAATTTTTGAAAGAATTAGATACTCTTATGTCTATATGTTACATTTGGACAGATTAACCAAATATTTTTTGCTTAGAATCCAATTTAACTGTGTTTAAATTATTTAAAATTAATTTAATTATGTTATTCCCATCTTAAATCATTGTTAACTGCCCCAAAATTTATTTTAAAATAAATACATGTAGAATTATGAACTAAGAAAATCTCAAAGAAAAAGAATTGCTGAATGTTTTAAGAAAGGTATTACATTATAACAAGAAAGTATAAATAATGTTTAACTTGTCTCTATAATCTCAAATAAAATTAACATTGGCAACCTCATTGGTGAGAAAAATATCCCATGTGTTTACCAAGGTTTTTATTCAGATCAAGTGCATGTTTTTACTTTTGTGTTTTTTATTATCTCAGTTATTTTAAAATTAAGCTTTTTCGTGTTTTTAAAAATATTAAGAATGAGAAGATAAATGTGGCACTAAAGCGTCGAGTACTGTTTTCAACAGATCAGAAATTGAAATATGCATACATGTTTTGGATTACTTTTATTTTCTATTTCATTTTATAATACTAGGTTGAGTATGGAACTATAATAATGAAAAGATTTGATAATTACTCATAGACAAAACATGTATATAAAGTCATTTTGGAAATTAACTCTGAGTATACTTTATTATTTGTTTTATTAACAAGCACAGTTTAAGGCTTTAGTTTACACAGAACCTTCTACACTTTTACATACACAAAAAATTAGGAGTTAGATTGTTTTTTGGTCAAGTTGATTAAGAAGACCAAAAATTTGAAGTTTATTTTTTTCTCTCACTAAAGTGTTTATTGAAATATATAAAAGGTATCTTAAATTTGAAAGAGTTGTGAATCTATGAGTTTTATATATGTTGTTTTTTTAAGCATTACTGAAAATATTACTAAGGTTATAAGATAGCTTTACACACATCCTGATTTTTTATTTTGTTTTAATAAAGAAAAGTAAGTTTTATAAAAACATTACAAAAATAAAGAGAGGAAACATAAATTAGAATTAGAATAAATTGCTCAGTATTAAAAAGTGAGCTTAGATTAGTTGGAAAGGATTCAGAAAAGGGTTATCAGAATGGTGCCTAGGTTGGAGGGGTTGTCATATGACAAGAGGCTGAAATATCTCAAATTGTTTTCTCTTGAAAAAAGATTGTTAAGGGAGATCTGATTGAGGTGTTTAAGATTGTTAAGGGAATTGATAGTGTTGATGTATCATCTTTTTTTATATTTAACAATGAGAATATTAGGACTAGAGGACACAAGTATAAATGTTGGCAAGGTAGGAGTCATCTTCAGCTAAGACAGTTTTATTTTTCTAACAGGGTGGTTGGCATTTGGAATGGGTTGCCTTCAGATGTTGTAGAGGCATTAAATTTAAGTGAGTTTAATGAAAAGGGCTGGGTTTAATTTTTTTTTTTAATTTTTTTTTTGAGGATGGACCAATAGATCCTATGTTGTCCTAAAATATTATGTTATGGTATGCCTTTTCCACTATCCGTACATGGATTTACTCTAAAACTACCACTGGATTTTTAAACACAACTAGTTATGCACCAGTTGCTAGTGGTTGAATAACTTTGTTGAATACAAGGTCTCGTTTGATATACGAGTCTCATACACACATAAAAAAAATTTTAAACAAAAATACTGTTAATATTGCATTAATACTAACAAGTTAGAGCTGAGGATCCCCATGTATTTTGCATAGAAGATAAATGATTTCACCTAATTTTTTTTGCTACTTCACATCGATTGTTGTAACAGACAAAAACATAAAATTACGCAGTATAATGCATCATGTCAATCAGTTTTTCTTCTATACCAAATTTGTTATAATTAATAAAGGATTTTATTGCTTTCAGATTTTGTTTTCTAGGCTTTAGTAGTTCCAAATTTTTCAGAGTGTACTTCAGTCTATATGATGAGAGCTTTTAGTTCTTATCATGACAGGATTTCTTCTGTAGTTTTAAAGTCTTGATATCATTTGTCTCTGATAGCATTCAGTTAGCCTTCTAGTGGCAATGCAGTATGTCTACAGACTTACAATGCTGGAAACTGAGTTTCAATACAAGTGATGGGCAGAGCACAGATAGCACATTGTGTAGCTTTGTACTTAACTACAAAAAAGCAAACAAACATTCAGTTAATGGCCTACCATCTACTTGTCATAGTTGTATCTTCTCCTTGAGATGCCCAGCCTTAGTGTTTATTATACGAGTCTTTTACTAGATTTTGTATTTACCCAAATGATCTTTTATCCTGCCTGAACTGGGTTTTTCCTATGCAGTGATCTCACTTTAAAGCACTCAGAAAATCATTCTGTAATTAAATACAGCTTTCTGGGTTGTAAGTTCTAACATGTTTTATTTCCTGATTCATGTCCATTAGGCAGTACCTGCATATTTATCATGAGGACTACGTCCTGTTTATATTCTGGGTCTTTTGATTTGCTTTCACCAACCCATCACTTTGATTAGTCCTGTGGACTAATGTAGAAACAACATTAGTTAAGTTATTTATATTATTTGTTGCTTGTTTTCCTGCACCTATGATATGCAATCTTATGGTGACAGTTACTTGTTATGCATAGTATATGGTTGCAGCTCAGAGATGTGACGTTTTTACAATCTATTGATAAGTCCTCCATAGAGCTAACCAACAAAATGGCCTCATTACTATTAACAAACTTATTAGTAAAACCTACCAGTCATCTGTTCTGTTTTGTTGTTGTTTTTTTGTGTGTGAGGCTTGTACCATTGAATTGGCATACACCCTGCATTTTTTAACATACTAAGTAGTGGGGTATTTCCCACAGTGGGACCTCTTTCCTGCCCCACCACTGAAGGACAAATTTTACACTATGCTAATATGTTTTGATGTAACATTTGTAGAACAAACTTGTAAAACTTTTACTTAATAAGCTTTTAACCATAATCTCATTACAGGCTGTAAGAAAATTGCTCATTTGTATAACTAGTGTGTCCTCATATATTGATATTTTGCTTGCAAATGATAATTATTGTGATTGGTAGATTTAAACGATGGATTGTGGAAAAAAATTTTGGGCTCTTTTTGAATGTTTGCCCCACCACTGAAAATTCCCTAAAAAATCCCCTGCCCCACCTTCTGGAAGTTTTCCTTTTGCTTCTAAAGTCAGTAGGTGTTATCATTAATAGTTATTTGGCATATGAGACTTCGACACAAGTACTTCTTGCTTATGAATACTGGTGTTAATTGGAAGCCCTTTCCTTCTACCTCCATTGCTTCCTTATTACTTTTTCTTCTCTTTGTCCTTTTTTTCATGTTAGTTGTTTTAAGCATATTTTAAGTACAGTGACACTCTGTGATTTGTTTATTTATATCATATGTGGTGTCCACTGGTATTCCTCCCTGGTTATGTTTCTCAGTAATATTAAATAACTTCTAGCTACTCTCTAACTCTAAATTTTGCCATTTCTGACATTCAAAAAACCTTTTCCACTGCTAATTTCCATGTTTTATCCAAGAATAATGTATATTTTCATGTCCTATCCAAGAATGACGTATATTTTTTGTGTTCCTTAATGGCGTTCATCAACATTCTAACTTCCATGAAATCGCTGAACATCTTTTAATCTCCTGCAGGATGTTCTAATAGTATTAAAAATACATTGTTGTTATTATTTCAGAAATATGCTTTTAACTTTGGTGAGTCAGCATTATAGCTCTGAAGTTTTCTCATTTGTCATTCACTGAGAATTTTTATAAATTGGTTTGGCCTTCTTTGGCCAATGAGAGCATGGTATTACTAAAGTGCCTATTTGAGGTCTTTTTGTATGGGAACATTTCTGTTTTGTGAGTCAGTTTGTAGGAGATATGTGAGAAAATGTGACTATTTAAGTATGAGTTAGTTTGTAGGGGATGTGTGAGAAAATGTGACTATTTAAGTATGAGTTAGTTTGTAGGGGATGTGTGAGAAAATGTGACTATTTAAGTATGAATCAATATAGCATGGAAATTATGTAGTAATACCATATAATTTGTAATGATTGTTTTAGTGATTCTAAAAGTAAAAGACACCAGACCACAAAACAAAGAGGAATATTATTAATAAAAGATCTAATACTTTGCCTTAGTTACCAAAGAAATAGCACAAAGTGATAATAGAGGTATCTTTTTGAATTATAGTTTACTTCATAAAGTTCACTTTTTTACATTGGTTTGGATTGCAAGTATTTTACTGCAATGTATGATTTAGGACTTTTATTTTTATAGAAAGATGAATATAACAGTTCAAAGAAGTAACATACATGCACACATACACATGTAGACAAATGCGAGTTAACTCAGAAACCTTTAACAAAACTTGCTGAAGATAATTTTAACAAGCAGGATTAACACAATAATGGGCTTTATGCCATTTGGATAATTATTAGATAGTTATTAGATTAGTCTTCATATCCTCCAAAACCTGAAATAAAAATCAATGCTTTAAGTTATGTTAAGGAGTTCTAGGAAATTTGTAAAGTTTATTTAAGACTTCAGATAAGCTAAAACAATCAGAATTTTTTGTGAAAGTCGTTGTCAAGTGTCGATAATACAAATAATAAACATTGCAAAGGTGATAAGAATATTTACCTTTCGAACACCACAGTTTGTCAGTAAATAGTTTTTGTGTATGTTGGTGTTGGTTAAATATCAACATCAATATTTAAGGTGTGATGCAAAGGTTGGATACATTTTTCTGAATTTCCAGCTTCTAGAAATTTCTTTAATTCTTGTTTCTGTGGAAAGTCCTGTTTGACCTATGTATACACTATTGCAGTCTTGACACGTTAATTGGTAAACACCACTGTTGCTGTACTTTTCAATTTTG